ACCTTGATCATGTCGATGGGTTGGATGACACAGGTTGCAAGCATACCAGATGCACCGCCATTGACAAAAGGCTTCACTGTTGGCCATACACCAGAAGGCTGGGGCTTCTTCTCCTCTCCCATGTTCAGTATTCAAAGAATGGACCAAACAAGAAGAGTGCTATTCGGAGGGAATAAAGATCGTGCTTTAATTTTTTGTCACTAGAATGAAAATGATTGGGGAAGAGGCTATTTATATAGTTGCAAGTAAGTACAAACCTTCATTGGAGCTTTTTGCCCTGTTTCTCACTCCCCTAAGTCCCAACTGTGACGAAAATAATAACAATAATAAGCTCTTATAATAAATTGTATATTGAAAATATAGTTATTTTATAAATTTATTTAAATAAATTTATATAACAGATTTTATTTTTAATATATAACTTAGTTTGTAAAATATTTTTTTTTTACGACGATTTTACTTGTGTATTTTGTGTGACGTCAGGAGCAAGATTGGGGATCCTCCAGCCATGGCCATGGGACAATTCTCTTCATTTTGCTTATTTTTGGTTCACTATTTTGTCCTTGTTTGTTTGGCTCATTTTCATTATATTTTAAAAAAAAAAAACATTTGAGTTGTATGTTAAATATCATGTTATTCCTCAAAATATCTTAATTTTACTTAAAAAAATAACACTATTCAATTATTTAAGTAGTTGATTTATTATATACAGTAATATATTAATTTTGTTTTTTTAGAAAGAATAAGGGTTGTTATTATTTTGTAGTAATCTTAATCCATACAAAGTACCATATATTTTAGCTAGGATGTGGATTCCGGATTCCGAACTTAGGACCTAGGTTTCCTCCCCTTAAACCAAAATAATGTTACACTAAAAAAACCATAAACAAAGAATTCCTTGAAATAATTTCATTTATCAATTTTATTTTACCAACTACCTAAATAATGATTATCTTTTTTCATTATAAATAAAAAATCATGAATTCGAATCACATAACATATAAGTGTAATGAGACAAGAGATAAAATATAATTACTTCTCATTATGCAATAAAAAAGAAAAAAAAAAAAAAAACCTTTCATTTTTCTTTTAACATACTCATCTTGGGTTGGTAGGGACCAACAAAAAAAAAAAGGTACTCCAAATGCATTGTCCTGCGCTCGGAAAAGAAACAGGTCAAAACTTGAGTTTTACCAAATCTTCAAAACATGGTAGGGAAAAATATATAGTATTTCTGATTACCAAAAAGTCAGATGTTTACACCCATAATATCCTCAAACAAGATACTGGAATATATATTTCTTTTTTTTATTTTTCCTCATTTTTAAGCTTTTTATTCAAAATTCAAAAATCTATAATATTTTATATTATTAAATATTAATATCTTAATTTAAAAAATAATAATATATTTTCATATAATATATTAATATTTAATAAAATAAAATTTTAAATTTTAAATTAAGCTTTTAGCTTTTAAATATATGAATTACCATTTAATAAAGTAAAATTTTAAATTTTAAATTAAATTTTAATTAATTAAAAAACATATTGAGGTTTTGATTTTAATTTTTTTAAAATTAAAATTAATATATATTATTTTATAGGTTAAATCCCCATTTTGGTCCCTGAACTATTATACGGATCCCGATTTGGTCCCTGAACTAAAGAAATCCCTGATTTAGTCCTTAAACTATTGTACGGATCCTTGATTTGGTCCCCACTGTTTATAATTTGGCCTAAGTTGGTCCTTAAACTATTGTACGGACCTCCAATTTGGTCCTTACTGTTTACAATTTCACCCAAATTTAGTCCTTGACCTATTATTTAACAGAAGGACCAAGTTGGAGTTAAATTGGTAAACAGTAGGGACCAAATTGGGCATTCATACAATAGTTTAGGGACTAACTTGGGAGTCTATACAATAGTTTAGGATCAACTCAGGGTCGTACAATAGTTCAAAGACCAAATTAGGGATTTTTTTAGTTCAGGGACCAAATCGGGGGTCCATACAATAGTTCAGGGACCAAAATGGGGGTTTAACCTATTTTATAAGAATTTAGTTAAACTAATATTTATTAATTAAAAAAACGTTATTTTAATGTATAGATTCAAGGTTACTTTAAACCCTCGCTACATTAAATATAGCCAACACTTGATGTGAAAAAAAAAAAAACTTAATAAATATTACATAAAAAGGAGGTTTCCTATATTTTGTCAAGGGTGGCGTCCTCATCACTTTTAGAACAAAGAATAACAACCTCTCAAAAAATAGTATAATTTTTGTACGCAAACTCAGAATTGAAGAGAAGTCCCACAAAAATCAACTTTATGTTGTTGCACTAGCAACAAGCAAGGCAATGCCATAACTAGAGGTGTTCATGGTGTGATTTGGTTTAGATTTTAATATTTTTTAAATCAATTTAATTTAACCAGTTAATAAAATTTTTAAACCAATTCAATCTACTATTATATGATAACCAAACCAATTCACTATTATATGATAATCAAACCAATTCAACTTGAATCGGATCGATGTGGTTCGGTCGAATTGATCGATTTTTAACATTATTAAATATATAAGATAATGTAAAAATATTTTAACATTAAATAAAAAACATAATCATAAAACACATTAACAAGCAAATTAGTAAAAACATAATAAAAAGTATAAATTATAAACGAGTTCTTATACTTCTTTACATTTGTAAAAATTGAAAAGATCTAAAAATTCTTCTTGGTTACATACATCACTAGAGGCACCAAGAACAATAAAAGATGACTTCAAATTTCTAGCATAGCGTAAATAATTCTTAAAGATTAAAATTAGTTTTTTTTCTTAAAACACTAATAATTTAATCTCATCTTTTAAATCTTATTAAAAGTGAATAAAATTTAACATGAATATCACTAAAATTGATTACAAGCATTCATAATCAAAATTTAAAATTTCTAAACCAAATATCCAAGAATAGTAGAATATCTAGACTAATTTTATTATATAATTTTAAGACTTTTAGAATAATACTTATTTAAAACTTAGTTAGGAGAATCATAATATTATTTTAAGAATAAATTATAAATTTAAGATTCTAATAGTAAAGATGTAAATCAGTTCTAAAAGGATAGAGTTGCAGGTAAATTAGAAATTTAAAATTAGAGTTAGAGTGTATGATTCAAATGAAAAAATAACTTAGAGAATATGGAGATGTTTTATTTTTATGTTTTAATTAAGTTAATAGAGTTATTATCTTGTAAAATAAGAAATTTTTTTTTAAATACTACAAAAAAAATATTATATTATTTAATTAAGTTATCTTATAATCAGATTTTATTTTGTAATCGGACAGTTCAGGCGGTTTGAAGGTAAAATCACAAACCAAATTAATTATATCGGTTTTAAAATTTTATAATTCAAACCAACCCAATTTTATATCGGTTTAGATCAATTTTTGATTGAATTAGATCAGTTTAGATCGGATCAATCGGATTGGATCGGATCGGATCGGATCTGAACACCCCTAGCCATGACTCTTGCTTCTACACTCCTACTGGACTAAAGTGACCAACTAATATAATTTAAGAAGTAAATGGCAAATAAGTAAAATCGTTTAAGCATTTATTTTAGTATTTGACGGGCTGTGGAGTTGTACTGTTGTAGTAGTGAATATGAATGATGGCAGTCAAAGTACAATATATATATTTTTTGTCTCGACATTTACAACGTAAGTAATTCTCCTCCATTTTCTTCGGTATGATTTATAATTTAAATTTAAAATTTTTTTTTTTTTATTAAAAATTTTTTCTTTAATTTTTTTAGTTATTTATTTTATTTAGATTAAGTTTGGATTGAGGGTGGTTTTATTTTGGAAAAAAATTAGATTTGTGGAGTGGTATTATCCGTGTTAATGGTGTGGGCACATCAGGAGGGTGGAGGGAGGAGAGGATCTGAAGCTTCGGTCAATCCACGTTGCTCAACCAACGGATTCTCTCTCAGAATCTCCAAAATGACCGGCATTTCCCTCTTGAAACCGCCGCCGCCGTTGTTCCCATGTATGAGTATGACGACAAAAGTATATACATACACTAATCTCGTAGGAAAAGCCACTTTGGAGTTCGGACAAGAAAGAGAAGGGTAAATAGTGGAAGCAACTTTTACCAAAAAAAAAAAAATATAGTGGAAGCAACTCGCTATGCTCCCATCCACTTTAATTATTATTTTTATATATAGTTCTCTTTTTAGTAGTTTTATTTAATTAAAATTTTTTTAATTAATATTGATATAATATGTGTTAATGCAAAGAGCTTCAAGGTGTACTCCAATTCAAATCTTCACTTCAGTTGATCTGTAAAGTCTCGAAGTGAATCTTTAGAGTAGATACTTCGATACTTATATAAGTAATAGTCAGGTTTTTCAATAGTTGAGTCTATCAAATGTGAAGTAAGAACTAAACTTGAGTTTGAATTCAATTACCTTTTAGAAGGACCCAAGGATATTTATAATTATGTCCACGTGTTATTCTTTACAGACAATCGAAATTATGTGTCAATAATCACAAAAAATATTTTCAAGATATCTGTGTAAGTACGAAATTACTATTGAGAAGAATTAGAGGGGATGAGCTGGAACTCCATTAAGCTCACCAGCTCTTAGGTGACATCGCGAAGCAACAGTTGAAAATAGTTCGGACTGTATGAGGTTAATGATCTCGAATTACCATAACTACAATATGTGTTTAAAAAGTAAAAAAATCAATTTAAACCAACAAAAATTGATCTGAGATTAATACTTAAGAAATTATTTTGTAGTAATATTGAACCAAAATGCATCATTTACATTTACATATGGTAGGATCGGTTTTTTGGGACTTTTTCGAACTACGTATCATGAGTTGTACCAACTATTAAAATCTTAAGGAGCAGAGTGAAATTGGTAATGGTCATGTTATTCTCTGTTTTCTTCTACTGTCAAGGTGCACCATTTAAGCAAAAATTGTACTTAACTCATTTTCAACCTTTTACCATAAAAAAGATACCTTATCATCAACTGTGTGGTGTAGTGGTAGAGTTATTTGTATATTTAATTATAGATTTAAGATTAAATTTTTATTCTTTACATATCAAAAAAAGAAGAAAAGAAAAGAAAAGAAAAGGCACCTTTAGGGTTTATTTGGTTAAAAAACTAATTTTACTGAACTGTGGTTGAAAAGTAATACAAGAAAAGTTAAAAATCATTGTATTTGTAATGAATTTTGTTAAGATTGTAAAATTTTCCTTGTTTGGTAAGAAGTTAATATTAAGGAATTTAATGAAAAAATATTAAGTAAATCACACATTATGTAAAGGATAATAATTAATAAACCATTAATTCAATTATTTTTAAATTTAAATTCAAAATGAGAAAAATTTAATTTACAAAATTTAATGATTGAATTAATGGGTATTAATAAATGTGTTAAATTAAAGAGTATAACAATTATTATTCTTACAAAGATTGGGGAGGAAAAAGTCTTTTCCTTTTAAAAATATGTGAAGAAAAATAAAACTAAAAAATATTTAATTTATTAATGTATTATTATTATATTAAGGAGTGAAAATACCTTTTTAGGTGAATGAAAATTGAATTTTCAATTTGAGATTCTTAGGAAAATCATCCTGAAATACATGCATCAAACTCATCCATGTTCGCAACAGATAAACAATAGTACTTGTTTCAAGAAGGATTGAATGATTTTCTTTTTTTCTTTTTCTTTTTTTTTTGGATGTTCTATTAGTGTTTTTATTTACTTCTTAAGAATATATTCCAAGCAAATTTCATGGGGCCGCCCTTCTTTCCTTTGGCATTTTTTGGTTATTTGCGTTGGGAACTCTCAAATCCTCTTGTTCTTCTTTTATTATTTATTATCAATCTTAATATTCTTTTATGGTATATTATTTGATGACTTATTATTTAAAATATCAGATAGGTTAGCTAGGCTGTTTCTCAACAAATTTTTGTGAAAATTTTTTAATTCAAAAGAAAAGATTTAGAAAAAGGAATGATTAGTCTATTATTGTTGAGTACTAACCCAATATTAATATCGATTGCAGTTGATTCAAGTGGAAAAAATTTGATTTCTTTTAAATGAGATTTCGATTTTGAGTATTATAAATAAAAAAAATAGACGCTAAAAGAGTTTCTTTTTAATGATGTCTGACATGACTCAATTTTAAATTAGTCGGACCTAATATAGTTATCAGATATCAAGAAATTAATATAAAAAAAAATCTAATATTAAAAATATTGAGAAAAATTATGATTTTTTATAATTAAAATATCGAGAATGATTATAAAAAATTAAAATATTTTAAATAAATTAACATAAAATTTTTTTAAAATATATTTAAAGAATTTAAGACAAAAACTAAATATTTAAATTATCAAAATATATTAATTTTTACTCTTTTTTTGTATAAAAAAATAATTCAATTCTGATAAAAATAAAAAGATATCTTATTAAAATAATCTAATATCAAGTTTGTTTTTTATTCGTTATAAATATCCAATGACAGGTCAGGCAGAGGAAAATGATGCAAAACACAGTCATTGTCCATCTGGACCTGACATTTATGTCTTGCCCATTTTACCCCTATAAAATCCCACTGCCCTCCCACTTTCTAGCGTGATTCTTGAGCAAACCGAAGGGCGAGATTTGTCATTACGAAGAGAGCGGGCAAAAGCAACGCTGGGAATAGCCATTTCTGACGGACCCCAAATATTCATCAATTTCCCTTAGTAAGCATCTTGAAGAAAGTCTTCGCCTTTCCTTCCAAAGGTATAGTCTTTTCCATCTTTGATCAACTGGGATTTCAAGAATTGTGACAAAACCTAACGATAAACAGAGATTTCTGCGAATTCTGCAGAGAAAAAGATGAGAGAGATAATCAGCATACATATTGGGCAAGCAGGAATTCAGGTGGGGAATTCTTGCTGGGAGCTATACTGTCTCGAACATGGCATCCAACCCGATGGCATGATGCCCAGGTAATCTCTCTATGCATGTTTTCCCATGGTTTATGAATATATGCTTCTATAGATATTGTGTACATGTGGGTTTCTGTTTGTATGCTTTATGCAATTTGGGTCAATAAAAGAATAATGATCATGGAAAGTGGGTATCGTTTTGTACTGCAAGTGATGTAGTTGAGGAAGAAATTTGTATGATTGAATTTGAGAAATATTAGACATGAGATTCTGGAGAAATATAGAAAGTGGGTTTTGAGTTAGGTTCATGTTACACTGCTTATTGATGAAAAGGCAATGTCCTTTCTCTATTGCAGTGACACCTCTGTTGGGGTTGCACGTGATGCTTTCAACACTTTCTTCAGTGAGACTGGTTCAGGAAAGCATGTGCCTAGAGCTATATTTGTTGATCTTGAACCAACTGTGATTGATGAAGTCAGGACAGGTCCTTATCGACAGCTCTTCCATCCTGAGCAGCTAATTTCTGGGAAGGAAGATGCTGCTAATAATTTTGCTAGGGGACACTATACAGGTAATGGATGTCATGTACTATAATTTCAAGTCTGTGCTACTAGTCCTGTTTATCTTGTTTGACTTGGTCTGATTCTGGGTATGTCTTGCAGTTGGGAGGGAAGTTGTAGATCTCTGCCTTGATCGGGTGAGGAAATTAGCTGATAATTGCACTGGTTTGCAAGGGTTTTTGGTGTTTAATGCCGTTGGTGGTGGAACTGGCTCTGGTCTGGGGTCTTTGTTATTGGAACGATTGTCTGTAGATTATGGAAAGAAATCAAAGCTTGGATTCACCATCTACCCTTCACCTCAGGTACACACACGGGATTAATTCAGTTGGCAAGTGAAATTTGTAATTTTAAACTGAGATTTTAATTTTAAAAACTATGAGAAAATGCTTAATACCATATTGGTCTATTTTGGCTAACTTATCCCATGGTTGCAGGTCTCAACGGCAGTTGTGGAGCCTTATAATAGTGTTCTATCCACTCATTCACTTCTTGAGCACACAGATGTTGCAGTTCTTTTGGACAATGAAGCAATTTATGATATTTGCCGGAGGTCCCTAGATATTGAGAGGCCAACTTATACCAATTTGAACCGACTCATATCTCAAATCATATCATCCTTGACAACTTCTTTAAGGTTTGATGGAGCTATTAATGTGGACATTACAGAGTTTCAGACAAATCTTGTGCCATATCCACGTATCCATTTCATGCTTTCCTCTTATGCTCCTGTTATATCAGCTGAGAAAGCATACCATGAGCAACTATCAATTCCTGAGATTACAAATGCAGTGTTTGAGCCTTCAAGCATGATGGCAAAGTGTGATCCCCGGCTTGGCAAGTACATGGCCTGCTGCTTGATGTACCGTGGAGATGTTGTGCCAAAGGATGTTAATGCTGCTGTTGCCACCATCAAAACTAAGAGAACTGTTCAGTTTGTTGACTGGTAAGTGAACATTAATGTAATTGCCAAAAGTGTAGAAATTAATTTGGTAAACATGGATGGGATGTTCTAGTCAACTGGTATCATTTCACATAAGGGAAAAAATGATTTTGAAAACTTTTCTTTGATATCTGTAGGTGCCCAACAGGCTTCAAATGTGGTATTAACTATCAGCCCCCAACAGTTGTACCTGGAGGTGATCTTGCGAAGGTGCAGCGAGCTGTTTGCATGATCAGTAACAATACAGCAGTTGCAGAGGTTTTCTCTCGCATTGATCACAAGTTTGATCTCATGTATGCAAAAAGGGCTTTTGTGCATTGGTATGTGGGTGAGGGCATGGAAGAAGGTGAATTCTCTGAAGCCCGTGAAGATCTGGCTGCTCTTGAGAAAGATTATGAGGAAGTGGCCACTGAAGATGTTGATGATGGAGAGGAAGGTGAAGATTATTGATGCACTTGTGCAAGTGGAGGTTCTGCCCACCAACCTTCCCCCTATATTATGATGCCATGTTGCCTTATGTAGCTTCATTGTCTTTCTGGATGCTGTAAGAGTGTCAAAATTATGCCTGTCCAATGTTTAGACCTTTGCTTTTGTGCCAATAATGAAGTGATACAGCAGAATTCTATGATAATGGTGCATAACATTAAATTCCAAAGGGCTCAGAACAGTGACAAGAGAGTAATGAAATTTTGCCTTGGATAATATCAAATTTAAAGAGAAAAGGCGAATAAAGGGTTATGTCCCTTCTAGCATGGCTAGAAACCTAATCATCGAAGTTACAAACATAGAACATACTTAAATTGCTCATCCATTGGGAATACAGATGCCTGTTTCTTCTACTTCTCATGTATTTCAGATTACATAGCAGATAAAGAGAGGAACAATCAGCTTGGACAGAACAACTGAGAAAGTGTGTGAAGATCCCAGGGAGCATCAATTGGATCAAATCCATTCTCCAGGTATGAATCCACCCCATTCATTTCGTACATTGATGCTGTTACCAGCCTTTCAACCTTCATCATTTCTGGGTCAAATATCTCCAGGCCAGTTGCATCAGAGTTTAGGCCAGCATTATTGGGCAGCTCCATTAATCCTTCTTGGGTAGGTGGAAACTGATCAAACACTACTGGGGTAGCCCATAAATTCCCAAACTGAGGGGTACTGGTGCATCTGCTCCAGTCTGGTCTATATACATCTTCAGAGACCATAATGCCCTGTTTCATTTCATTACACAGAAGATCACTATTGCTCTTACTGGATTGGTAACTATCATTGCTGCCACTTTTGCTACTATTGCTAATAACTACGGTACTTCTTGCGGTTTTCTTCTGGGTAGTTGTTGAAGTGCCCTGTTTTAAACTCCTTTTGTGATTAAGGAGGTTTCTGATCTTCAAAGAGACATGGGAGTTGGTGGATACATGCATAGCAAAATTGGTGCGTGTGTTGGAACCGCGGAGAAGGAAAGCAGCTTCATCATAAGCCCTAGCAGCTTCCTCAGCTGTTTCGAAGGTCCCTAGCCACATTCTTATCTTCTGTGTGGTGTCTTTGATCTCTGCCACCCATTTCCCTGAAGATCTCTGTCTCACGCCAATGTACTTGCTCTTGCTGTTACCACTCCCACCAATTCTCTCATCAAACTTGCTCTGTTTGGGGGCTGAAGCACCTTGTTGCTGCCTCTGGAAGTGGTAGTGCTCCATTGGAAAGAGTTGGGTGAAAGGTGAAAGTTGTTTGCTTTATATAAGGGAAACAAGGGTTTTGAGCCTATGATGAAAGTAGGTAGCCCGTCTATTTTGCCTATGTTAATGTCAACTTGAATTTGGCTCCATTTAACATGGTATCTGATCTCTCAATGTTCAGTTGACTAAATCAGGTCTCCGTTGCTCTTTCAAATACATGCAGGTCATCTCCATGGGAACAGCCGAAAAGGATTGGGGAAAAAGGTACAAGATTGGCTACATTTGTTGAGTTTTGCAGTGATTTAGTATTGTGGGCGGTTGTTGTCATCCTCCGTATTAGGTCAACCAAAAACGAATAAAATCGTGGAATCATAAGGCCTGACATTCGGAGCACCTCAGCATTGTTACGTACTCTGTTTGTTTGGACCAATCCAAAGGGAAAACGTCGAGGCCAGGGGAATCTCTTTTGCCACGCTGAGTTCTGTTGGCATCTCTCTTTTCATTACCTAACAAAAGCTTCCATGTGAAGATTGATGTTATCAAAATGGGAAGAAAAAAACAAAGAATAACGTTATTATAAGTGAGTTTCCCATATTGTACCTAGACTGTTGTCAGATTGCAAAATAAGAATTATCAGTTTCACTTCTCCATTCAATGGTTTTAATTTCATGGTCCAAATTGCACGACTCTTTTTTTGATATTATATATATATATATATCCTACTTGCTAAACTTCTATTATTTTAAGAAAAAATATATAAATACTTATATTAGTTTATTTTTTTATTAAATAATATTATTTTTTTTTAATTTTTAAATAAAAATATTAATTTTTAATTTTTTTAATTTAAAAATATTAACTTTTAAGTATTTTTATTTAAGAATATTAACTTTTAATTTTTTTTATTTAAAGATTAATTAGATGATGATGTTGATCGGTAGATGTTAATTGGTAATAGATTTTTTAATAAAAATGTTGAAAGTTGATATTTTTAAATTAAAAAATCAAAAATTAATATCTTTATTTAAAAACTAATAAAATTAATATTATAAAATAAAAAATATAAAATTAACATCTTTATTTACAAATTTTCTCATTATTTTTATCATCTGCGAAGCAAATCACCAACCAGAGTTTCCCCAACTTAAAAACCTTGATTCTGGAATTAGGTTACAATACTTCGTTTCGGAATCAGAAGAACCTGTCAGGCTAACGCTGATGGTTCGAATTTATCTGCCTAACTTTACTGGGATCCTCTGTTAAAAGCAGAAGGGAAGAAGAGAAGGAAACCTGATTTGAGACAGGAGAATATACAATTTTATTTGGTGCCTAACGAAACCAATAAGCTAGGAGGAAAAACCCTAACATGAAGTTGTAAGCAGTTATTTGATGAACGGAAAAATGAGAGAAGGAATTGAATACACATTTCTTGTATTATGAAACTAACAATCCATTCTTTTATTGCTTATTAGATCAAAATTGCAATCATGCTAAAAGAATAAATATCCAAAATTCTGGTTCATATAAAATCATAATTCACAATCAAGGGTTGTGTGAAAATGAGGAAAAACATGTTGACACCAAAAATGCAACAAGAATTGCCTCCCTGGCAATCCTCAAAAACCTCATGAACTGACAGAAAAATGCTCACAATCCACGAGTCACCTATCCTTTTTCTCTTCCAGACTGATCATATATCATAACTTAATAATATACATATTCTACAAAATCGACTCATTCCAACTGTGCAGCGATGACCTGAACCCTTGATCAAACCAACGCCAGCTCGATGCAAAACATCATGCAGAACCAAACAATGGGAACCATCTTGTGAAAAAGAATGGGTAATGAATATGCTTTGGAACACACAATCGACATAGCATTTCTTCCAACACCATAGAGATGGCTGTGAACCACATTACGATGAGAGGATGGACTGCAAAGCAAGCTGCTGTTGGGGCTGCAGAGATGACCATGTAGAGGCCAATGTTGCTGGTGGCAAAGTTTGCTGAAGCTGCCTCAGCAGATTTACCATACGACTAGCAGTTTGTTCTGTTGCCAGATCCTTACCACATAAAACCTACAAGAAATAGACTCTTGGTTAGAAATGCACTCTACAACCAATTCTCATATGTACAGGCACTAACTAGGAATTGACATTTTCATTAAGGCTGTAAGAGATCAAGGTCGTATGAGTGTACTGACTAAAATAAATAATTATTACATATTATACAGAAAATAACTTCTACAATTCTTAAGTGATTTATACCTCAGCAAATACTGCAACTATTTTAGGAAGATATTGATTATTTGGACCCAAGACTTCACCGTCTGACCTGTCAATGGAACACAAACTTCGGTTATTATTGTACTTTAAAGGGATATGTCAAAGAACATGATAATAGAATGCATTAATCCAGAATGCCTGAGACATTACCTCTCTACCATAGAGCAAAGTTGCTCGTGAACAACTTTGGCTTCAATCAGATCACCTTTTATTGGTAAGCAGTTCAACCATGCAGGTACAATCTACCAAATACCACAACAAATACGTTTATGGGGTGGCCAAAAGAAAACAGAACTAATATTGCTAAACGCTACATTAATAAAGAAAACAGTTACTAATACCCTCCACACAAACAGTTGGGCATTATCTGGTATTCAGATTGAATAAGGCATCACATATCAATACAGATACAAGAAGCAATTGTTAACAATGTTTTACAGGATAGGTGCATCTGTGTTGGCAGTAAGGAGAGTCTCAATGGTTATTAATGAAGAATTGGCTTGAACATTAGGCACATGTATCAAGCCACAACCAACAACAGGCAAAAACTAGTGCAATAAATTAATTAATTTTGGAAAGACATGCAATGAAAATTCATGAGAACTTTGTGTACAGCAGAGAAGTATTCCTTTTACTTCTAACTGATAGACTAAGAGGACAAATTCCAATACCTGAGCTGCATCAATACTGTCACGATGGAACAGGCATATTTTTCCTAACGCAGAAACAGCATTATCATATGCCATCACATTTTCAGGTTGGAGAGCATTAGGATCCCGTATTACAACATTCAGCCTTGACAGGGCCTCTGAACAAAGCCACAAATAATTATCATCAATGCAACTACAAAAATGGCAATCTAACATGGAAGATCATTTGAAATTTACCTCCAACAAGAGATTTAAATATGGATCCTCCAAACTCTGCACAAACACCAAGTCCATATACCGCTGCCTGAAACAAATAAGCAGACAACTCAAATGACAATGTTGATAATCTAGGGCATTTTGATTACCAGATCTATGCAAGAGCAGACCTGTCGGACATCTGGATTCTCATCATTGCAAGCCTCCAATACAAAAGGAAGATACATGTCATAATATCTGTTTCAACAATTTTACAGGAATTGTGTCAACAAGCACTCCCCATAAAGAGTACTAGTATTTAGTCTATTTAAATTGAGCATCTTACTTAAGAGCTGCTTCTCGACACTGCTCTGCAACATCATCAAAAATGCAAATGGCGATTCTTCTCTCTTCAGCTGTTTTATCCTTGCCCTGCATTTAAAAGACACCCAGACCATGGAATGATCAAAAGAGAGAAGACACAAATGACGCAAATTTTTATTTTATTTTATTTTTTATTGGGAAGCAGTTATCTTCCTTTTCCTTTCAGACTAGCACTTTGAAAAAAATAACAATTAACAATTGTATGAGATCACAATTAACAATTGTATGAGATCACTAAGCTAATATATGACAGAAACAAAGCCATATCAAAGAATGAATTTTCTAACTTTTCTTAACCGTAACACTTGCATAACTAATAAAAAAGCAGTCTTACATACAACTTCAGTCAGACACCATAACCTTAACTCTGATGCACAACTCTTAGAATATAAACAGAGCTACATCATGGGAGCAGAACTTACCCACATAGGTGTGAGATATGAAGATAGCTCATCAAAGAAAGGCAAGAATGAGACTTTAAATGTTTTGATCAATGTTCCCAAGATTTCACCCACCTGGACGCGAAAGATGATCAGGTAAGAAACAAGAATTTATGGGTCTAGGGCAACAAAAAGGGCCAGTTAAACACGTTATCTCTGCTACTTGTGCTCTACAAGTTAGATAATATGATTACACTTACTTGGTCAAATACTTCTTCTTCTTGCTCATTTTCCTCTCTAATCAACTCGCTCTCCTCAGCATCAAAATCTTCACCTTTGGCTCTTTCAGCTCGCTCTCTTTTTCTACTTGAGCTAGCTGTAATTGCTTGTTTGATCTCATCCACAATGGATCGTACCTGGCTTTCATCAAGAAGTGGACCAGAGATCTGGAAGAAGAATTGTGAAGTTTGAAAGAAATGGTCATGAGCTTCATGTGAATTAAATCAACCACAAAGGCAAAAGTAAATCAGAATAATAACAATAAACTTCTTCACTTAAAAGCACTAAGAGGAGCATCTATGCATGCAAATTCATGGAGAGAGACTTAGAAAAGATAGACAAAAAAAGGGAAGCTAAATTTAAAATATTCCCAGCAGACGTGATAATGTACAAATTTCATAAAGTAAAAGACCAAGGAAAAATCATGGGAATATGTAAGTTGAATGTGTGAATCAGATGCAAGTCAAAATGTACAGTATGTGACAAACCTGTAAGCATTCATTCAATGCATCCAACATATTTGCACAGATCTCAGTATCAGGTTCCTGCAAGCATATCTTAATTCAGACACTTCGACAAATGTGATATAATCATCAAGATCAGAACCATCAGAACATTGATAGAGGATACTCAGTCCATAAAATTAAACAATGATAACCTTATGTAATGCTTCCACCAGAGCTGGAACAATGTAATCAGTCAATTGCTTTACATATGTCTCATTACGCCCCTGAGCCATCCCTTTCTCTACAGCTAATTTAGCAGAACGCAGCAACTCGGGCATGGCTAGAAAATAAAAATGCATTCCCAATAATTGTTCACAACAGCCCAACAAAATTAAAAGAATATGCAATTGAACTCCTTTATTATTATTATGAAGAAAGGGTATACTGTCAGTCTTATACCTGAAACAGCTGCTTTTCTAACTTCTTCATGGAAATAAAATTTAAGAAGAGGAACTAGAGTTGGGGCAACCTGAATCACAGCTCACTTCTGTTAGTGTAATATTGCAGGAAAAACTAGAGGACAAAAGTAAAAATATCATGAAATGAAATGAACCTGATCAATCCATGGGAAGAATCCTTCCTTCAACTCATCAGCATAGCAACAAAGCATGTTACAAGCTGTAGCCTTCTCCTCCAAGACACTAGTCTTGATTCCAATTCTTTTGTCACCAAGAGTTATGGTCTCCATGCTGTGTAAATTTTAATAGAGATGCACCTATTAGTACGTGTGAATGTGCAGCAGACAGAGATAATTTAAATTAATCAAAGAACCATATTGCTTATTTGTGTTAACTTAAGCAGAAAAGAGTGTAAACCTTTCATCATCAGAGTCATCAATTTCATTATCTGAATCTGCAGATGTAATGGTTACATCTGGCTTAAGCTGAGCAGATTGCAGAAGTGGAG